CTGAGAGCTATTTTTGTCATGTGTGAGGAGAAGGTGTCCTCTGTAACACTTTTCTACAGTTTTTATACATTTTTTGCCATAAATACATGTACTCCATACACAAGGATGCCTTCTTCATGTGACTGGTGCATTCGACGTCATCCGCTGATTGGTAGTTAGTTAGTGGTGCTTTAAAGTTTAACTTTGCCCATCAGAGTACACAATAATTATCAATAGTAGTAAAGATAATAATGATACACGCGATAGGGAAAATCCAGTTGCACTAACCTCCATCAAAATAATGTCCATCAAGAAATTCTTGTACACCATCTTTATCAAATGTAATTCCAATGAGTTTAATATTACGTGCATCTAGTGCAGGTTTCAGTTGACTTAAATTTTTAGCCTCCAGCCGACAAAATTTACATCCCATACGACGAAAAAATGTGATAATACATGCCTGATCCTAAATTGTATTTGAAATGAAGGGGGAAAAAATGAGAAATGGTTATTTTATCACAACAATAGTAATAACAATGATAAAGAAATGTACGTTTATGAGAAAAAATGAAGTAATACTATCAGAGCAACCAGTGAGATCAAGCTGCAATCTGCAAATGTTTGGCATGCGATTCGCTCGTGCTGCCAAATGTAAGATGGTGCTACAGGACTGGACTGGACTACATTGACTCATTCCTAGCTTAGAATTAGGGGGTGAAGTGGTAGAGCACCTTGACCGCTTCACTTATTTGAGAAGTACCATCAGCCCCAACGAGTTGATCTCCGACGAAATATTGGCGCGGATACAGAAGATTAGTTTCCCACATGCCAGTCTACGCTGTCTCTGGCTTAGTAGATGTGATATCCGACTGGCTATCGACCAGAGGACGTGTGTACTGCTCACTCATCAGTTCACTCCGTCCTCCTCCTTTATGGCTGTGAGACCTGACCATTGACAGTGGAAAACATGAAAAGGTTAGCTGTCTTTGATCATAAGTTCCTGCGTTCTATCTCCCGTGTGCAGTGGTATAATAAGGTGAGCAATATTGATATGAGGCTTCGGTCGAGTGCTAGATAGAGAGGGGAAATCATTCGATGAGGTTGTGAAGTTACATCGATTGACATGGTTAGGATATGTGTTACGCATGTCTGTCTGTTTTCAACATAGAACTTTGCACCGATGTGTAGCAGTTCAACCCGACACACTCCACATGAAGCAACAGAAGAAAGTAGAAAGAATGCAAAATAGAGACAGTAGACAGGGATACCAGACAAAAGGAATAGTAATATTCAACAACCATATAGTTTCATTGGATATTATAAGTCACAAGGAGTGGATGCATCTGCGCCATCATCCCCAACGAGGATTTTGAGTCATATCACCAATTGTCTCCAGCCATTGGTTTTTACTATCCCGAGGACCCCACCAGAAAGTCTACATCTTCTTACGTAACTTAAACTAACTGTTGTGGATTTCATTGACTGGTTTGATCACCACTAGCTCTTTTCCAGCCTGACCCTACAACAGCTAACAATGCCTGTTACCGATGAAGGTCATGGTTACGGATGCATGCGTAACACATGTCCTAACCATCTCAACTGTTGTAACTTTACAATGTCGTCGAAGGATTTCCCCAACCACTTACATAGCACTCAACCGCAGCCTCACCTCAATATTACTCACCCTATTATACCACTTCACAAGGCAGATATAACGCGGACAACTATGATCGAAGACAGCTAACCTTTCCATGTCTTTCACTCTCAATGGCCAGGTCTCAAAGCCATAAAGGAGGACGGAGCGGATTGATGAGCGAGCAGTACATACGTCTTTTGTTCGATAACCAACCGGATATCACGTCTAGTAAGCCAGAGACGGTGTTATGCATGCATCCGTAGCCATCGCCTTTCGCGACAACAGACAGTATTAGCTGACATAGGATGGATCAGGTTGGAAAAGAGTTAGCACGTGGTGATCAAAGCAAAACATGACCTCATCAATCAACGAAATCCACAACAGTTAATTCAAGCTAATCACGTAGGGAGGTGTTAACTCGCTTCCTGACTGGTTGAGGTTCTCGAGAGGGTAAAAACCAATGAAGGCTGGAGACAGCTGGTGATAAGGCCTCAGACCATTATCTAGCTGAAGGAACCTTCAAGGTGAAGTTGAAATCCATGAAAACAACTGGAGACATGCCACTGTAATTAAAGATCACTACTCATAAAGTGAAGGACATGACTACAAGAGATATCTTCACTACAGATCAAATCAGAGCAAAGTCGGATACACTATGTGAGGAGACCTGTGTGTGGAAGAACATTGGACCTAACTCTCTGAAGGCGATGTTCAAGGAACCTTGCGCAACTGTTCTAGAAAGAAAGAAGAGACAAGACAAGGAATGGCTGTCAACGGACACCTACCTGGAAACTAATAGAAGAGAGGAAAAGAGCATGGTGAAAGAGATAACTCAATGCAAAGATGGACAACAGAACTGTGCACTACACTGAACAAAGTGGAGAAGAGTGCTAGGAAAGACAGAAGAACAATTCCACGAAGCAGAACAGGCCACGGGTGAAAGAGACCTAAGAAGATCATATCATATAACCAGTTCTCTATCTGGGAAGAGATCAACCCAGATGATGAAACCAACAGAAGACGCTTAAGGGAACCTGCTTACTAAGGCGAAACAAATAAAACAATAGGCTGTAAGAGAAACAAAACCCATATTATAACACTAATCAATGTTTTGTTTTCTCTACTTGCAGGAAGACACCCGGGAGTCAACTGCCTGAACCAGGAGTTACAGGAATTGCAGAACCTAAACATTAATGAAGCTCAGTAAAACTGTTATACCCTAAAACTGTACCCCGCACTTTTTAAAAGTCACTTTCGTCGAATAAACTCTCTCCTGCGCAGATCGTGTTCTGCTTTCATTACCTGTGTGCCTGCTGGTTTGCCTGTTACAGGCTGGTCACTGGCGTAGACGAGATGTTCGACTATCGACCAAAGGGTGGGTGTACTGCTCATCAGTCCGCTCCGTCCTCCTTTATGGCTACCTGTGAGATCTGGCCACTGAGAGTGGAAGACATGAAAAGCATGGCTAGCTGTCTTTGATCATAGGTGCCTGCGTCCTATTTCCCGTGTAAAGTGGCATAATAAGGTGAGCAACATGGAGGATAGGCGTAGAGTTCTAGGTAAACAGGGGAAATCAATCGACGAAGTCGTGAAGCTACAAAGACTGAGATGGTTAGGACATGTGTTACGTATGCCAAGCCATCGCCTTCCTCGACGAGCAATGTTAGCGGATATAGGGTCAGACTGGAAAAAAGCTAGCGGCGGTCAAACAAAAACTTGGCCTCACCAGTCAATGAAATCCACAACAGTTGGTCTAAGCCACGTAGAAAGGTGTAGACTTCCTGACTGGCTGGTTGGGGTCCTCGGGACGGTAAAAATCTATGGTTGGAAACAATTGGTGACATGGCTCAAAATCGTTCTCAGTGGCGCAGATGCATCCACTCCCTGTGACTTATGATCTTCAATGAAACTGTTTTGTATTTCTTTATTACTCCCTTGTCTCACACCTCTGCTCACTGTTTCTATTATGCTTTTCGTGTACTTTCTTCTCTTGCTTCGCGTGCTACACGGAATGTGGCGACTTGAACTTCCGCACATTTGTGCAAAGTTCTATGTCGAAAACAGACAGACAGACGGTCACTTCAAAGGACTCTTGAATCGACCATCACCTGCAACTCCCCTAGAAATACCGGTACCAACAGCACGCACAGAACTGCTTGCCAGTAGACACCAGTCTCCCAAAGAAAGCAGAAATCCAAAATGCTATCAAGCTGCTGAAGTCCGAGAAGGCAGCAGGACCAAATGGAATCCCCCACCCGGGAGCACTGAAACTGGACCCAGAGACTGCGGCAGATGTGCTCATGCCATTACTCCAGAAGGTTTGGAAGGAAGGCAAGGTGCCTACCAATTGGAAGAAAGGCTGGTTACCTTGTCACGCTACCAAAGAAAGGTGACAGGCTTCTCTCCTCAAGAACTGGCGTGGAATAACGCTCTTGTCAACGCCAAGTAAAAAGGTAATTCGCATCAACCTGGAGAGACTAAAAGATGCACTGGATGCACAACTCCAACCCCAGGAATAAGCTGCATTCACAAAGAGCAAATCCTATGAGAATCTGATTGCAACTCTACGCATCGTCATCGAACAACGCATAGAATGGCAATCAAACCTCAACTTCATCGACTTCAAAAAGGCCTTCGCCAGACAGTGTTGACCAAGAAGTAATTTCGAGACTACTTCAACACTACGGCCTGCAGTGTCCAGGTCAGCTATATGACAACTCCGTGTGTCAGGTGATGCACGACGGAAAACTCAGTGAGGCGTTCGAAGTGAATCTAGGAGTAAAACAAGGTTGCCTATCTATTATCACCGGTGATATCCTTAGTTGTGGTGAACTGGACTGTGCGTCAAACTTTATGTTGGGAGTAGGAAGACAGGAATACATTAGACCACCAATAAGAACACTGTGGAAGATCTGGATCTAGCAGATCACTTATGTTTAATGTCACACAAACTCGAAGACTTAGAAGCGAAAACTAACAAACTGGCGGACGAGGCAGGCAACGAGGACAGGTTTCCAAGTGAATATAGAGAGAAGGTGGAGGTGATGAAGATAACCAACCAACTAACCAAAAGCAACAACAACCAACACCAACCACCATCAACGAGAGAAATCTGACAGAGGTTATTTCCTTCACTTATCTAAGAAGCATCGTTTCAACCAGAGGCGACAGCACGGATCAAGAGGTCAAGGCCAGCCGGAAGTCTTCTCCACTCAGTCAGCATAAACAACAAGACTCGGATTTTCAACACTAATGTTTAGTCAGTCAGTTCTTCTATATAGTACCCAAATCACGACAAGCATTTCCAACAAGTTACTGACTTTTATCAAGGCCTATTTCGCTGGCTCCGTACTGAAGATCAAGTGGTCAGCTAATCAGAAAGAATTAGCATAAAGAAACTCTGCAGTGGAACAAACCAACCAAGATCCGGTTGCTCAACGTATATGTAGGAGAAAATGGAGATGGATTGGACATACGCCACTGAGGAAGCCGTCAAGTGACATCGCGCTCAATGCAGCCCACCACTCCAGTGGAGTCATAATGGGTAACGACGAAGGAGTCATTGGTCTGAGTGTGATATGAACAAGATCGTGTGAGGAGGAGGTCAGAGATGATTGGCGATCGTAGGCCCATATGTAGAGGACAGAAGAAAATAGAACGAAGTGGAGATGTGTTGTGTAAGCCCTATGCTCCACTCGAAACCCAAGGGAATATTAATCATGTTAATATGACTGCAGATCATGGCACTTTTACACTCATTGATATTTCTGACATTGTTCTTTAACCTACCTTTTAACTCTAACTATAAATCTGAACCTTATTATTATTATTATATCCTTTATATCCTAGAGGAACATAGGGCTTCAGCTGTGCACCTCCACTGCCTACTGTTTTCTGCCAACTTTTTCACCCCGCTCCAAGTCTGCCCACGGGCTTTCATCTCCTTCTCACATGACCTCCTCCAAGTCACCCTTGCACTGACGACCAACTCGCCGCTTCCTTTTCGGTTTCCACTCGAGCGATGACTTGTCTAGTGATGTCACTTGATGGTTTGTTTTCTCAAAGTATGGCCAATCCAATCGGTTCCTGGTTGGTTCACTCATTGCCAGAGATCCCTGTTGCTGATCTTTTCTGGCTGGCCATCTGATCTTGAACAGCATTGAGCGAAGACAACTGTTAATGAAGGTCTGAAGTTAGTTTGAGATGCCCTTTATGACGCGCAGTGGAAGTCTCTGATCCGTATAGTAGCACTGACTGACTTCACATTGGAGTTGAAAATCCAGATCTTATTTTTGATGCTGTGTGCTGTTGACCTACACAGACTTAAGAGTAATGAAAGCTTGTCCTGCTTTTCCGATTCTGGCTTTGATGTCCTCGTCATTTCCGCCTGTAGTAGAAACGATGCTTCCCAGGTATATAAAGGAGGGTGTTTCTTTCAGGTTCCTCCCAATTATACTGATTGTTGTCTGTTGTTGTTGGCCATGAATCTTCATCACCTCTGTTTTATCTATGTTCACCTGAATTTCTATCTTCTCTGCATGCTTGTTCTGCCAACTTCTTGCTTTTCACTTGCATATCTTCCAGTTTGTGGGAAATCAGACATATATCATCGGTGAAGTCCAGATCCTCCAAGTTGTATTTGTGTGGGTCCATTTTGTGCCTTTTTCCTCATTGCCCGTTGTCTATCGCATTATCCAATCTACTGCAATCACAAAGATCATTGGCGATAGTAGACAGCCTTGCCTCATTCCCATCCTCACTTCGAAGGCTTCCGTAAGTTTCCCGTTGCGAATTACTTGGCAAACTATAAGCCTAATCCTAACCTCAACTTAATTAGGTGACGGTTTATAAACTTAAAAAAACACAACCCTAAGAGTATAGAGCACAGTTAAACTTTAAGCACCAGTAAGTACCAACAGACAAATGACCCTGAACCCACCAACCACATGTTATAGGTGATTTTTGCGTATAAAATACATTATACATTCTGGAAAATAATGAATTAAAAGGCATGAAACTGTTACACAGGAAACCTTTCGTTGACACGTGACAAAACTGCTTCTCGGTTTTGGATTGGAGTGTCAACAGAGTAAGTGGACCATACTCTGTGCGTATAACTATCTAGTCTTCTAACCGTAACAAATAACCCTTAATCTGTCCTTAACCTAACCATAACCTAACTCAAACCAACTCAATAGGTTAACCTAACCCCAAATTTTCTTTGGCCTAAACCGTAACTTAATCTTTCCCAAACCTAAACTGAAACTTGCCAGATATCCGATTCACTACTACAACACCTCATGATTACAATTTAATTTACCAGGTTCCACTAACTTGCTTACTGAGCATTCCAAAGTAACTGGTGAGGTAGAACTCCATTGGCATTTACTGGTGCTTAAAGTTTAAAGTGGCCAAGTATGCATTTATAGAAAAAGTATCTAGGGTATAAATAAAACACTAGGCACATGAGATACGAACGCACAAGTGACTTAGAGCCGTTCGATCATAAAATAAATGATTTTTACACCGAAAAGACGATTAATCACAAGAAAATTCATGAAAACACATTAAACAGGGTATCCTCCTCTGACATGATTTAAACATACGTCCCAGTTATGGTCAGGAGTATCATTTTTTTAAGTTAGACCAGTTTCTGTACATGTATTCACCGAGATGACTTGAGGAGGGCTATTTTTGTGTCCCGTTTATCACTTTTATCCTGTTTTGCAGTCTTCCTAAAAGGCCTTTGGTTGAATTACTATGGATTTCAGCAAGCGGATCGACGACTACTTACTTGGAAATGTGGATACTAAAACAAATTCAAATAGATAACGCTATCCCCAAACCTATACTTAATCGCAACTCTAACCTTAATCCTAACCCTAATTATAACCCTGATCCCAATCTTAACCCTAATCATAACGAGCTATCAAGACATTATCAAAACAGTACTTATAAACGTGATCTGAGTGGAATTTGCTCTAAGTGGGTGAATGGAGTTCATATTCGTGCTATAATAATCATAGGTTTAGTTGTCCAACGACTGGCATGCGTCCAAGGTCATTGGAGTGTTCGCACCCCTGGGACCTGGTAGTTTAACTTCGCCTGATCCAAAAAGGTAGGCATGATTTGATTTGGAATAACCTTTGATTGTGCCCTCTAAATCTAATTGGTTCTCGAAGGTAAGCTTTGACAGACATTGACTGTGGCTATAGTAGTTTAACCTAACCGATACCCACTCAAACTTGTTGTAGGAGGTTAAAAATAGCTGATAGGTCGATGGTTAAATAATCACTTAATTTACATGTCTTAGTCAGAACATTTCTTTCCCTACTGTGTGATGATCACAATTTAAACTTCTAAACCTATTTGAGCAAGAGTGATGTGAGATTCCTCCCATTTAACCCACCTGGTGAATTCTTTTTGGAACTTGAGATATGTGGGTGAAAACGTGGGCAGTTTTCCGTTCAAATTTGCGTAAAGTGGGAGAAGGTGGTCTGTTTTTGGTTGTAACATGGGTGAAGTGGGAATAAGTGGGCTATTTTAGAAAATGACATGGGCAAACGGGGAAAAAGTAGCCAACATGGGTAAAGTGGGTAAGTTATGTAGCATTTACACAGTCTTTGGCCCATATATTTGCCCATCAAAATAACCCATTTAGCCCACTTTTGGGGTACATTGCCCAGGTGCATTCTGTGACTGGGGTGCCTAGTCTATTTAGTCGTTCTATAACAACTCACCACTCCATAAAAATACAGAGTGGTTGCAGTGTTTGAGGTATTCAAAACAAAGCTTAACATTAGTATAGCACAGTGAAATAATAAATTTTGATACCACCAAAGAGCTTCCATGCAGTTCACTGATGCATTTATAAATATAGGTCATCGCACAATGGTGCTAACTGGGTAGTATTTTATAACAGAATCAAACCAGATTTGAATTTAGAAAAAAACATTCACACGAAAAAACACTCACTTACCCGCCAAAAGCTATCCAAAGTCACTGTTTGTGAACCAAGTGCAGACTGAACAACACAAGTTCCAACTTTAGCCAGTAGTGAAGATACCATTTTGTGATATTAAAGGCGCGCACAAGTTACAGTGTTATAACGTCTCTTATAAGCATTGCCTTAGTCATATAAAGAAAGACTAGATTCCTCCTATTGATTTATTCATTGTTTTCTCAAGGTTAAAAATAATAACCAATCAAAATAGTCTCTATCCTCACTTGATTGGTGAAAAATTAGAACATGTGATTGACCTATAAAAAAAAAAGGTTATCACATCCAAACTTGACCCTGAAACAGCTGACTTATCAGGCACGTTATTTTCTACCGTTCTTATAGTGGATTACTAAAACTAAGTCTATTACAAACCAAAAATCCTTTTTACTCAAAACATATTTTATTCAAAATGAACATGAAAATTCATTTGTGAAGTACAATTAGAAGAAGCGGTAAACTATGTACAATCATAGCATCAAACTGATTAAAATGACATTGTTGTGTATAGAATATACAGTAACACATTGTCAGGCTTTGTTATTTAGTTAGTTAGCTAGCTAGCTAACTAGTTAGCTTATTTTTGTTGAGACGAATAAAAGGCTAAACTGAGATGTATAGTTGTAGCAATTAACCGGTCATTCGTATCAGTTTTGATCAATTATTATTATCGTATAGAATTCTTGACTCATGTTTTTGTCTCTCTCTCTCATGAAGCATTAAGTTTGCTTCTCTTTCTCACACACACACACACACACACACAATTTCATGAATTCTCCTTGTTCATTTCATTGTATCTCATATCATTGAACTCAGCTGTATTAGCAATATCGAAGGCTAGGACATCCAATAGAAAGAATAATAATAGTAATAATGAGATGAGAAGAAGCATGACCAGTATGACGAAGTAAAAATCAAGTCAGAATTTCTGGCATTTGTATTCATTTACCGCTTTCTCTTCATTCTTTCTTTCTTCCTCCAATACTACTTAAATATGCACTATTTAGAAGAAATTCAATAATAATAATAATAATAATGAAACAAATATTAAGTGACCAAAAAAATACAAGAACCGAAAAATATAAAATATTTATACCATTTGTTCATTGAACTCAACTTTTGATTGAATACAACTTAATTATGAATACAATTAGTTAAAAGGAAAAAAAGGTAGTTATATAACCAAATTAACTAACTGAGTAAGTTGATAAATATGTGTAATAATATATTATATTATAGTAATATGTTATGCATATATTATTGTATCTATGTAGTTGTATATTATATATGTATATGTTTTATGCATGTAGATATATATATATGTATGTATGTTTTATGGATAGATAGGGGGTAGTTAATTAATTTTTTTACAATGAATAAAATTATGATGAAATGAAAAATAAATAAATCGTGAAATTTCACTTCACGGCATTTTAGTTTACTCAAATATATGCGTAATATTGCATAGATGAGGTTATATATTCGTATATATATGTGTGTGTATATACACCAGTATATGTGTCCGTCTCTCTATTATCTATCTACTTATCGATCGATTTATCGATTAATCTGAAAGAATCCATTTTCTATCCTTTTTTATGTATCATAATTTTGTCCATTTATTGAAGCATTTTTAAGTAAATTAGTTTTCTTTGATACATTTTTTGATTTATCAGGTGATGATGATGTAATCATTGAATTCATATGCGTTGATTGTTGTATGCTTAATGCACCAGAAAATGAATTTGATAACTCTTTTGGTATATCATGTTGATTATTATTCAATAATATTGATTTTAAATTTTTAGGATTATTATTATTTATACTTTCATTCGTTACATTATTATTCATTGGTGAAGGATGATGATGATGATGATTCGATGTACCATTGGTATATTGAACAGGCATTTGTTTATTTGATGTGTCTATCATTGGCGGTTGTGTTGAATTTGAATGATGATTCTGGTGTTGTTTTTGTTGCGATGATGATGATGAGGACGATGATGGTGGCGATTTTTGTTGACTATAATTTGTTACTGATGATAAATTATTATTCACAAATTCATGTGAATTTAAACCATTTTGTTCATTTGTTGTTGAATATTGATTATTGGTCAATGTTCCGTTAGGCGGTGGACTTGATTCTGATTGTGATGGTGCTGATGAAGGTGGCTGTTGCGTTTGCAGTGGCGTTTGTGGAGCTGCTGCTGCCGCTGGGGGTGGCGGTGGCGGTGTATTCGATGTAGATGAACGTAGCTTACTATTTGGTGTTGTTTTAAAAGAGACTTGTAATACACGATTACCTAAGGCAAAACCATTTAATGAATGTATTGCTAATAAGGCTTCTTCATAATTACTCATTGTAACAAAACCGAACCCCTTACATTTATTAGTCATTGGATCACGAATAATTTTCACTGTTTGTACAGCACCGAATGGACCAAATAATTGCCATAAATTAGCTTCTTCGGTTTCAGGAGCTAAATTGTATACAAATATACACCAACCGGTTGAGGTTAGCGCACCAGAACTGGCCGCCACAGCTGGTGCTAACAATGGATTGACAACAGCTGCAGCACTAGCCATTGCTGGAAGAAAGTCGGCAGCTGTAGCAGCAGGTGAACCTGGAGATACAGGTGAATTCCCTGCTAGCACACTAGAATACTTTAAACGATTCGAAAGAGACGCGATCTGTTGTAGAGGATTCAAGAGGCCAGCAGCTGCGACTGCTGTCGCCGCGGCGGCAGCACTTGCAGCAGCAGCACTACGTGTTGGCGTTGGACTAACCACTGAGGCAGCAACTGATTGTAACTGGGCAGCTTGTTTCAACAAAACTAAACTAAAACTATCATGTTTTATTGAATTTGGTGAATTAGCAAATTTCACTGTGATTGGTTCATTCGGTAGTCCGTTAGGATGATCTGATGGGGCTTGATAGCCATTTAATCGATGAATAGCTAATTCAGCTTCATGACGTTGATCAAATCGTATAAATGCTACACCACGTGATAAACCTGTCTTATTATCATATAATATACGTGCTGTAATAATACGACCACATTGATTAAACAATTCTTCTAATTCACTTTGTGTCATTTTCTTAGGTAATCCACATATATAGAGATTTGCACCTTTTATTGATTCTGAACTAGGTCGTGCTAATGATACTTTAATTGTTTTATTCTGTAAACGTAAACCATTCAATGTACGTATTGCTTTCTCAGCTTCATATGGATTAACATATTTAACAAATGCATAACCCAAACTTTCACCAGTCACTTTCTCTCTAACTAACTTACAACTTTCAACTTCACCAATACTTGAAAATAAGGCTTTAACTTCTTCTTGTGACATAAACGGGGGGAGATAATTCACGATTAAATTTGTCTTATTATTATTATTAGTAGTAGTAGGAGGAGGAGGAGTATTAATATTACCACTACTATTTATACTACTATTATCATTCACATTATCGATATTTTGATTATCAGTAGTATTGTATGCGGTATTAGGCGTTATTTGTGGATTATTACTCCCGCTACTGTTCATGTTACTCTCTGTAGTTGTACACCAATCGTCATGACCACTATTCACTGGATTTGATTCCTGTACGGGATAATTCACAGAATTACGAGTTGATTTATAATCATACGTCGACGTTGTTGTATTATTAGGACTAGTACTATTACCATTACCACTATTAGTATAATTTAGATTAGTATGCATAGTATTACTTGTATTATTATTATTATTGATAAGGTTGGTTGTTTTTCGATTAGTTAACAGATTTCGACGTCCATAATTATTGTTGATATGATTGTAAAAAGATGATGTTTCTGTTGGTTGAGCTGTCTGTTGTTGTTGCTGTTGTTGTTGTTGTTGTTGAGGGTATTGAGGCTGTTGGTGTGTACCATGATTTTCATTGGTTGATAATGATGTATTTATTGATTTTATCCCATTTTGTAAATAATATATTCCATGGTTACTGTTCCCATCGGTATTACTAATGCTATTAGTGCCATTAGTAGAAGTATTAGAAGTTGTAGTATAGCTAGTATTGATTTTTGATTACCACTGTTAATACTACTGTAACTTTCGCTAAAATTACCACCACTGTTATTATCGATATTATAACCTTCTGTGGCATAACTTTTGATATCTTCTTTGAAACTGTTCACCTTTTCATGATTTATTAAGTCGGGATTTTTTATTGTTTTGCCTAATGATGTTAACATTTTTGTAGATGTTGTAATTACTGAATTATTTTCTTGAAAATTATATTGTTCTACAAGAAGAAAGTACAATAAATAAAAAAATAAATCAATAAAATTGACTAAAGATGCTTGGGCAAAGGAGACCTCGCAACACTCTACCAAACAACTAGGTTCTTATCGGGGAAAAGATCAAGATAAATTAAGCCAATGATGGATTACAATCGAAAGTCAATCACCAAAAGAGGTGGAGCAAGGGAGACACTTCCAAAAAACTCTTAAATCGACCGCCATCTACAATGCGCCGAATAATACCAACAGCGGAAGTAGAACTACTACGAGGTGACGTCAACAATTATACATCTCATCCAACAGTTGTACGACAATGCTGTATGCCAAGTAATCCACAATGGGAAACTGATGGAATGCTTCAAGGTGAAGACGGGAGTAAGACAAGCTGGATGCCTGCTGTTTCCAATAATTTTCCTGATTGCGGTAGACTGGATAATGCGACAGACAACGGGCAGCGAGGAAACAGGCATAAAATGATCTCACACAAATTACTTGGAAGATCTGGACTTCGCCGATGATATATGTCTGATTTCCCACAAACTGGAAGATATGCAAGTGAAAAGTAACAAGTTGGCAGAAGAAGTATCAAAGATAGGAAGGACTTCAGGTAAACATAGGAAAAATAGAGATGATGAAGATTCCTGGCCAACAACAACAGCCACAGAAACAATGACAGACAACAATCAATAAATGGATGAAATGTGAAAGATGCAACCTCCTTTGCATACCTACCTACCTGAGAAGCATCGTTTCAACTACTGGCGAATAGAACCGGTGAGGATATCAAAGCGAAGATCGGGAGAGCAAAGGAAGTTTTCATTAATCTCAAGTCTGTATGGAGGTCAACAACACTCAGCATGAAAAATAAGATCCGGATTTTCAACTTCAATATGAAGTCGGTGCTACTCACTATACTGATCAGAGACTTGGCACCGCGTCACGAAGGCCACTTCGAACAAACTACAAACTTGCATCGACAGCCGTCTTCGCCCAATTCTACTCAAGAACAGATGGCCTGCCAGAAAAGATCAGCAATAGTGACGGATCTCCGGGAGCGAACCAACTGTGCAACAAATGTGCAGGAAGAAATGGAGGTGGATTGGCCATACTCTGAAAAAACCATCAAGTGACATCCCATGCTAGGCCATTGCTCGAGTCTAACCGAATGGGAAGCGGGGGGTTGGTCGGCATTTCGAGGGTGACATCGATGAGATCATGTAAAGAGGAGATGAGGGCATGTGGGCAGTCGTGGAGCCGGGTGGAAACGTTGGCAGAGAACCGAATGCAATGGAGATGTGTGGCTGAGGCCCTGTGCTTCTCTAGGAATTAAAGGAAACAACAGTATTTATAATAAAGATGCCCACTTCACCATGCAAATACCAGTTCACTTGTTCGTTTGGAGCTGACTACATTGGCAGTACTATGCGTTAGTCATTAAAACGCTCATGGGAACACTAACCGACGTGACTGGCTAACAAGTGTGTATATAGTAACAGAACATCTGATTAACTCATGACCTTCAGTTCCACTTGAATGGATCCATACTGAAAATCAAATGGCCAGTGGATCAAAAAGAATTAGCAACCATAAACTCTGGGAACAAACCAACCAACAGCCGATCGTTCAACAAATATGTAGGCGAAAATGGAGATGAATTGGACATACGATGAAGGGGTCATCGAACGATATCGTGCAAAATGCAGGCCATTATTCGAGTGGAATCCCATTTGGAGGCAACGAATGGATCGTCACTGCAAGTGCAACATGTAGGAGATCGCGTGCCAAGGAGGAGATCAGAGATTATAGGCGATCGTGAGGTCAACTAAAGATGACCACAGAAAACAGAACGAAGTGAAGATGTGTTTTTGAAGCCCTATATTCCACTCGGAACTGAAAGAAACAACAATATTAATATTATCATTGGCGCATCTGGATTGATATATAGATAGATACAAGAATAGTTAAATAACCCAGATGTTTCTTCTTTCAGTCGTGGAATTCCAACTGGTTGTGTAACAGTTAAATCTACGAAAGCCTCCAAGTTCCAAATACACCGAAGTACAGAAGCTATTACTATTCAAGGGATCAGTTTAGATACTATTACTTTCATGGCCTGTTGTAGAGCCTACAAACCTATAAATATCGTATTATCTTTCTTAATATATCTGAAGTTCCGTTTAATGTTATGTTACTATTTATAGTATCAAGCAGATGATATACTGTGATATGAATAGTTTTGGTTCTTAAAGGAAACTGTGGCGAAGCTCCACCTCAAACTGTGTAAATTACAAATCTGACTTATAAGAGCACTTGTTTGCTCATGTAGCTATTCGGAAAGTGAGTAGTTTGAAGTGATTCAGCTCTGTGGGCTTAGTTAAATCACGTACATCACTGATAAATTTGTCCCCAAACGGTATTCTGGCGTTGAAATCACTCCAATCTGGCTAGCAAGCACTGCTGGTATACACCTACTCATCTCAGTTAGTCAGTAGTATATAACTTCCTGCAACTAATGTTTTGTTAATTCACACTATCAAGTATAGATGCCTTTGATTTGATATTGTTTAAAACATGAATATTGTTCGGAACAGTAGTTCGCTAACTATTATAGAAATGTAACTATAGAGCCTAATGAAGAGATGGTTATCGGAAAAAGCATTCTTTACTCATCCCTAATCAATCCTTTGAAATAAAATTGATTTTTTCCTGAGTACTATTGTAATACCTACCTTCATTGGTTGAATTCATATGATTTGTGCCAGATGTTATTGATTTCTGTTGTTGTTCCATTTTGCCTGAATTTTCTTTAACATTGAATTTACTACTAACTAAGCTATTGTTAGTAGTATATGGTTGTTGGTTTGGTTGATTATTTCGATGTGGTAAAGGTGAATTAGACGCATTTAATTTGATAAGATTATTCTCAGAATTATTATCAGAACATGGTGAGATCGATGAAGTAGTTGAATCATTTGTTGTTGTATCTGTGATTGATTTCTCTTGTAAGTCTTTATCGGTAAGATGTCTATCCATAATGAATCCATTTATTGTTGATGATGGTTTTATTAACTTATTGATGAATAGACGTTGATTATCATGTTTATTCGATGTTGTATTATTGTATATTTCATCCTTTTTTATACTACTATTAATGGAATTAGTAGTAGAAGTAGTCGTAGATGTTTTATTATTCGTTATATCATAGGTAGTAGTGTTATTATTATATATAATATTCGTATTACTAGTAGTTATACGTTCATTTGATTGTGTAAGATGTATCATCTTCCCATTGCCATATGAATCATCACCTATATCACCAGATGCACGTTGATCCTGATTACTAATTAATGTATTCATAGGATTTGATGACATAATAGTAGTATTTGATCCTACCGTCGTTGACATTGTTATTGTTGTTGATGTAGGCGTTGTGGATGTAATTGTACTCCTTAATAAACATTCATCAAGATTTCTACTATTCTCTTGTGACATCATGGATGGATACTATTAACTATTCTTTCCTTTTTCCTGCAGCTATTACTAAAAAGAATATTAGTAGTATAAAATTAAAAGGGTAAAATATAAGTTTACCAGTTTTATTTGGTTGATTGTTTTGTATTTCGTCTGTTTAAACTGATTCACGTTTTTTGTCGGGGATAGTTAGTTTAAGAAAAGGAAATTGTACTAAAATACACCTTTTCTGTTAATAAGGAAAACAAAATAAGTCAATCAGACATAAAGATAGACAGATATAAACAATGGACATTTTGAAACAAATTTATATGGGTTAAAATAAAAGTAATTCAATTTCAATTGACTTTCTCAATGACTGATTGTAAAGAAGGGATCGGTCTCAGGTTGACATGTCAGCTCTTTGTACGGATGCTTCAATTATATCTGATTATTCACTCTGAGGTAAATTGGTGGATAGTGACTAGCAGTGTAATCCGAGTAGTCTAGTTGATAACGCTTCTGGCGTTTGAAATTATGGGTACTGGGTTCGAGCCTCAGTGGGAACACCATCACCCAATGGACAATTCAGGTGCATTTAGGTGACACGTCCCAAATAGGACGAAATGCAAGTTGTCCTTGATTCCACTGCTGGCCACCATCCTTCAATTTATTTCAAGGAAAATGAAAATATTTAAATAGGGGTCAGTGGAATACCACCACCAGTTGAATGGATCCTCCTAGAAGAAATTGGTTAAAAACATGATGTAAAATTGAGTGGTTGTTGAGTTCCGATTCAAGTGGCATAGTAGTGAACAAAATTGAAGGCACTGGGTTCGAAATCTGGTGGGGTACGGTAGCTTCAATTCCAATGTCAAATCAGTACTTCTGTGGTGAGAGCTGGCTGCTAGCCAAATCGGTAGATAGTAATTTACTTCAATGTTTATGTCCTCAGTATTGGTCGTGAGAAAATATGAAGGAAGACTAATTCAACAACTAATCAAAGCAGAATTAGCGCAGGCGGATACAATCTGCAGATAGACAATCTGAACTTCAATAAACGGCCCCAAAGAGATGAAAGATTAACGTTCATTGAGGAATAACCAATCAGAAGACTTTGTTTGTTTGCTTAAATAATCTATAATAATGTACTTGAAAATCTATAAATATCTGTTGATTTCCTAAGTAAATGGTCTGCTGCCTTTTCTTTGTCTTCTGTTGTTACACTTCAGCATGATTTACAGACTTTGCACGTCATCAAAAAGCATTTCCAACAGGCTAATGAACAGAGTTTATGTAGTCTACAGAATTTTCAGTAGAGTGTATTGCATGATATTTATTCTTCGTCCAGGATCTTTAAATAAAAGATTTGATTGACAATAGATCGTATGATACAGCAGTGCTGTTTGACCTGAAGTGCAAACCAATCCATTATTGTGACATCTCTTCCTTTTCCCCTTTGATCAATACACGAGGGGATTTTTTTAATCCCAATTATAAAATGTTGAGGAGTATATTTCGTGAACCAAGGACACACCACTCAAGAATGCTCATCTCATATATTTATTTGGATAAGGTGCCATCCATTGAGGATAATGCTTTCTCACATATTTAATGGAAACTTGCCAGTCAGCAGGTTGTCATTGTTTTAAATACTCACCAGAGTAAACAGTAAATACTATTAGAGGTAATACTTTAATAGAATTAAACAAACTATATAAGAGAAATGATATGTTGGAGGTTCCTGGTAGCCCAAGTTTTAAACAGACCGCCAAGATGAGATGGTAGCTCAGAAGGATGAACTGACAACAAAGAAGTCTAGCAGTGCAATGAACCAGTCACGAACGAACTGATTGTCCAATGAATACACAGAAGGAAAATGGGGACGGATTGGACAAATACAAAGGAGATCGTTGAGTAACATCACGCCCATGGTAGACCCTCAAGTGGAAGCCAAATGGAAAACGCCCATTTGGGAGTTGATCTGGTGATGACTTTCAGATCATAAGCGAAAAAATACTAAGGAGAACCGGATCAGGTGGTAATATGCCGCTGAAGCTTTGGGTTCCAGTAGGAACCCAAAGGAATGACAATCATAATAACAAATAATAATGAAAACTTACCTTCTTTTAAAGTTTTCCTTTCAATAAACCAGTATATTTTACGAAATAGTGTTTTATATATATATATATTGTATATATTGGTAACGATATGATAAACAATATATTTTTATTTTCCAATTAGAAAAGGATTAAGTAATAAGATATGGAGAGAAAAAAGTGTACACTTTATTACTGTCTGTAGTCACTTCATTCAACAGAATCTCTATTATTGCCTTCTTTTAATTTACTAAGCAGCAATCGATTAAAATATTTGAATTGATCGAATCCGTATTACACTATGTATATATATATATATATAATACAGTAAGTATATAGATAGTTCAGTGTATATTTAAAGTTATTGATTGAATTTATGATACACTAGGTATTTATTAGGTATCCTTATACCTGGGATTGCAGTGTTTAACCGAATATTATGTTATTATTATTATTACTAATATTGTTCTCTTGGGTTCAGCACACTATTTTTAGCTGGCTTCACATTTCCCCTTATGCTTTCATTTCCTCCTCACGCAATCTACTCCATATCACCTGCTTATTATTTTTTTGATTACAGCTTGATTCCACACTGTATTTTTGGTACAAGTATGGAATTTTCAGCATGGATATCGGTAGTCCAAATTTTGCAGGCCGACCATAGATATCAGGTGTGAGTCGGCAGGGGATCGAACCTCGGACCATGTTCATGGTCGGCGAGAGTCCTTCCTAACCACTGTGCCACCGACGCCATCGAAGTTATTATTTCCCATTCGGATTTCACATTAGGGTCTAGATCGTGACAACAATCAACAGTCTTCTCAGTGTATGTCCGATCCAACTGCATTTCCTCCTTGGTTGGTTCTTTTTAAGACTAGCCATCTTATCTTCAGTATTCAGCTGGCGAATGTGACTATTGTTGAATGCATGAATATAAGGATAAACATTCCATATTAATTTGTTTATTCTATATGCCACACAGTGAAACAGTATTAGTATTTACTGGATGACAAAGTTTTGAACACAAATTAGTGCGGTTCTTAATCATATCAGTTATATAACTACACAACTTTGAAACTTGAGTTTTATAGTTTTCTTTACTCCTGTCTATTCGTTGTAGGGGTAGTGGAATTTTCCAGATGTCCGTCTGTACGGGTGTTGAACCATTCGTATCACACGTTTTCGCGGTTGATTTGATAAACAACGATTCCATTATCAATCCCGAGGTTCTTTCCTTGCATGGAACGAACCTCGTAAACCATGTTAAGCAGAATTCTTAACAAGGCAAGAATAAAAGTGGTTGGCATTCAAACCACCCAAAAACTCAATTAGAAACAAGCTTTGCCGGTTAAAGGATCAATCCTGTGGGGCCTTTAAAGCAAAACAAAAGAATTTAATTTATCTAATACCCTGCCTGCAATGATTGTCAGGTTAAATACATAGGTCAAACTACTAGAACAGGGAAAGTCAGACTGCCGGAGCATAAAAACCTAGCAGCAAAATCTAGATTAGTTGACCCGAATAAAATAAGAAATCTAGCGAAAAGTTCAGTCGTAGATAGCACTCACTACATGCAATTACACACAACCATACAATAGGCTGGATGGGATGGGATGACAGTTTTAAAATCTAATGTAACAGCAAGGTGGAGGGAGAGGTTGAGGACAGCGGAAGCTTTGCTTATCGAATCAACTGCAAGTACATGTAATAGGAATGATTCAACACCTGTCCCAGATATCTGGAAGATTCTACTACCCCTACGACAAATAGGAGAACACAGTACACTAAAAAGACCCATCTACAGAAGGCTGACATGAAACGGACAACTCACTCATTAACCCCCATAGTAGGATGCCTGTATATACAAAATGAAACCTAATCCATTCACTGAGCCAAAGAATCCGAACCTGATACTATTGAATAGGAGGTGAACACTGATAAGAATCCTCCTTGAAAATGTCTTTTCAGAACATTACATCACATACTTCATGAAGCCAAAACCCCTAAAACTCTACACTTTCTGCTCCGAAGAGACTTCTCCACTTGAATCTACAATTCGATGAAGACTAATCTGCAGAAATGCAGAGAAACAGCCTGTTCCGCTCACTGAAGCAAACCTTCTTCACGGTTAAACTTCGACTAACTTTCTCCAAAAGACAGTGACCTCATGAAGGTGAATGATAAGGTGCCTCTGCTGGCCTCATCAATGTGCGCCTACCAATTCACGTGTTCGTGTGGAGCTAGGTATGTCAGCCTTACCCAGCGTTCACTATCCAAACGTATCATCAAACACTTCCCCTTGTGGTTTAATAAAGGAGAAAAATGATCCTCTGCACCGCCTCAGCTGTATGTTGGAACACCTGATCTAATCTGGACATCAACCTAATCCACAAAGGAATTTCAAGGTTATCTACAGAATACGTGGGAATTTTACTAAAAGGGTACGAATCGAACTTCTTCAGACTTCAGAAGCAATGGCAATTGACATTTTAAATCCTGAACTCTGCATACAAAGAAGTTTCTTCAGTCATTAAATCTACAATGGGCGTTATCTATTTTCTTCCCTGTTAAATTTCTACCCTTTTATCACTACTGATGTTAACAACTTGACCGCTATTCAATTCTGTCAGTTATATTACGCCACTCAATTTTACTTATTTAATTCTAATTTTATGCCAGTTTCTAGACTATTAACAGTTTTTATATTACCTAATTTGTTACCAAAATACCATTTACAATGCTAATAACACATGTTTAGAAATATACTTTTTGTTGCCATGAGAATATTTTCAAGTCGTGGAAAATACCCATCGGGACATTAGATTGAAAAGAACCAGAAGTTCAGGAAATATATCTCATCTTTTCGGCGATTACATTCTCAAAAGCTGCTGTACAATCGCATTTATATAGGTTAGTTTACATGGATACAATTATTATTTGTTTGAT